GTAACACGCTGAGGTTGTTCTGTTATAGTTTGTTATAGAGTATGACAGAACCCCACATCCTCCCTGTGGCTTTTGTTGCATATGGAAGTTATTTTCACGAGTGATGCGGTGTATCCTGCGGCCGTACTTTCATGAGCGAAGCAACGAAAGTCACGGGGAGGGTGTGGGGTTCTGTTATTATTACATATGTTCCATTATTGCATATTAAAGAAAGAATGTGCAACAAACCTGGATGAAATTTAGGTCAGGGAACCCCATTGCCCATTAATATGTTCCAAGATAGTGTTACGTCCTAGCAACGCGTGTCAGTGTATAACGCGTGTCAGTGTATAACGTGTGTCACGGTCTGTGCCGAAATAAAATAATCATAAATCTAATCTGAATCACTGTTCGAATAAATTACTCATGGACGTTTAGTTGGGGCTACGACAAAACTAGCACTTGAACTGGATGACTATGATACACAGTTTATGTTGAAATTAAAAGTTCCTTCACAGAATTGTACATTGGCAAACATGCCGTGCAACTGCGGTACTCCACTGACAGGATGACTTTCGTCGACAGTGGTTGTCACTAAGCAGCACATGATGATGTTGCTTGCTGGTCGTGGATTGAATGAGTCTTGGTTACTGGTTAAAATGTTACTCATTCGGCGTTAATAATCTTTATTTGGAACTGAGTAACCCTGCAATGTCGCCAACAGAAACCTCCTGGTATCTCGATGTTGACAGTTGCGGCTCCATAGTAATCGCTGATTTTACTGCGAGTGGATCTTTCGAGAGCCTTTCAAGGTTTATAAAACTCAGTTTCCAAGTGATCAACATACATTAAGTTCTCCCAATCGTAGTATTCCTTGTGATGTACACCTGATATGCCAAAAATGTTGCTGAACGATTTGAAGCAGATAAAAATAGCAGACGAAAATGTGTTTAAAAAAATAATTATAGTTCGGTAGCCAATGGAAATACCATGTTCATTTACATATTGATCGTGAAAATACCGAAAACATATGCAAATTAGTTTTAGTCAAAATATGTGACTGCCTAAAAGTACCATTGCTGTTGTTCAAATTTCATTTCACTCGGCAAGTATATTTATGTACACCAAGGG